CTTTTTTTTTTTTTTTTTTTTTCGGGCCCCGTTTTTTGGGGACTACCGGTCGCACGCCCGTGGGTACCCCGGACGACGCGGCGCGTTAAGTTCTGTTTAAGTTCACATCCTGTGGGTACCTCCAAGCAGGGAGAGGTACTGGTGGTTTAAGTTCTGTTTTTTTCTGTTTTTCACACGTTGGCTTTTGCACGTGACCTTTGGCAAAAAGCCAAGGGCATTCCAACGGGCCTAGCCCACTTTGCACACCCACGACCTGTTGAAATACAGACCCAAGTTCGAATCCCGATACAATCAGATGACCAGAATAAAATAATTCTGAATTACCTGGGGCCGGTCAATGACATCTCAAGGCTGCCGCAGTTTTGAAGAAAAAATAAAAAATGTAGCCAATGCGGCCCAACGACATAATTCAGCCTTCTGTTGCACGCCCATGCACTGTTGAGATGCAGACCTAAGATCGAGCATTCCCCCCACAGTGTTTTTTTTTTCTTTTTCTCCCGGAAAATACAGGGGTTCGGGACAGGCATCCGGACAGGGGTTCCGGACGGGTCCGGTTATTCCGGAATAAGAGAATACTCGGAATCCTGAATTACTACTCTTTTATGGACAATTGATCATCATTATGGTCGATAGTTCACTTAATGAAGGAATCTTGTGCATTGACCTTAGCGCTTAAATATCGCACTAAGTTCGAAAGAAGCACGCTGAAGAAATTTGGTCCACGGTTTCAATGTGCTGATAACTACTAGTTTATCGAGGTTTTCCGGAAGTCTGGGGTACGGATTCAGTTCGGAGTCTGGTCCGGTGTAGCTATGGTTTACTTGAAATCGTTGGGCCATGTGGGGGTCAGATAAATAAGCTTCTTAGCTTGACCCCTTGTGATAGCCGTACTTCCCTGATACTCCCCTGAACTTACCTCAGTAATACCTTCTCCCCCTTGGAAACTCCCCTTAAAAAAAAAAATTGTGCCTTCAAAGTTTTAATGCGGATTTCAACAGATCTCAAATAGCGCAGTCAGAATTCGCAGAAGGGGAAAAAAAAAAAAAAAAAAACTCACTTTTTGAAAACCAGTTTTACCACTTTGGTTTTCAGGCTTGCCGGTGATAAGCAACCGGACTGATGCCCCCCAGAATAAGAGGCTGTTTTGTTTTTTGAAAACAAAAAAAGAAAACCAGTTTTACCGGTTGACCCCCTTTGGGCCGGTCCAGCCCCAGCTGAACCGGCCGGGGCTGGACCGGCCGGTTGCTGGCCCGGCCTTGTAATTCAGTGAATTTTAGTCTTTAAAAGTTGAGTAGAGAAATTGCATTGAATTTCACATTCAATTTCCAAATGCAAGAATTTAACAAAAGCAATTTTGATAATCGACCAGGATTATACTTCGACTGTTGTAGATTTTTTTGAATAGCACATTTATATTTAATATTAGAAAGTTTTGCAAGGATTTTGCCCTCACAGTGGCCGCTAGGCCACGACTTTCCAATGCCTAAGGCAACCCCCCCCCCCCCCTGCAAGTAGCGTTGTCGGGGCAGAAACCCTGACAGGGGTATCTGCCCGGGTTTTTCCATGTCAGACGCTGTTTGGCATTTTCATTAAGACGGGACTTGATGGGACTGACGTTGCTAGAAGTTTATTCAAACCTACCCTATGACCGATAAGACTACAACTGTTTAAGTCTAGGTTCAGACGCTTGTGACGTCCGGTGTGACCGGTTAGTCGCGGCTCTTAATAGAGTAGCGGCAACACACGGTCGTGGGAATGCTAAAACTAGACCTAGCCTAGCGGCCGCGTGATTCAAGGCCTAAGTAGGCTCAAAAGGGCGGTCGCGCTAGGTGTAGGGCCACGACACGGAGAAAGTAGGGGACATTTCTCTTTATTATTTTTGGACCGCGGGGTTTACTCCGTACGAAGGGCCAGTGCCGTATCGGCGGCCGTAAAGGCTGGTCGCGGCACCATCAGGTTGAGCGGCCTGATGAATGGGCGGCGGCGTGAGTGCTGGGGGACCGGGAGGCCGTCGTGCCGACGACGGCACGGCTGGCTTTGTGAAAGGGGGCCGATGAGGCCTGCCTATGGCCATGGTTGGGCAGCCTGCTGGGATAGCGTCCGAGGAAGGAGCTACCTCAATAGTTTACCATGTCGAACTCTTACCGTGCAGATACCAGCATCGAATCCGACAGGCCCTATTGGGCGCAGCTCCTTTTGGAGCTGCCTTGCAGCGGGCACGGTCGATCTCGACTACACGATCACGTAGACCGCGCGGCCGAGATTGGCCGCGCGAGATTAGCATGGCCCCTGCGCAAAGATGACACCCATAAATCGAGAAATGGTCAAAATTTTATTTTTTTCTTGTTGTTTTATCCCAAAGGAATCGAACTCGGGTCTGTCTTTCAACAATTCGTGGGTATACACGACTGTGGCCGTTGGCTTATGCTAACGGTCTTATTACTAAAAAAAAAAAAAAAAAAAAAAAGCGGGGAGATAGGTGTCGTTGTTATCGCAACGACCACCACTCCAAAGGCTGCACGAGGCAAACAATGCCTCTGCTGTTGAAGAAAACAGTCTCTTTAGACTGTGTGGGAGCACGATAGCTCCCACCTCATGGTGGCACAATTTTTTGTAGCCGCGAGATCTAAGATCTCACGGCTCATATCGCACGCGCGGGAGAAGAGGGAAAGTTGAGGGAGTTGGAGAGAGAGAGAGAGAAATGGGAGCATGAGAGAGAGGAGTACCTACTCCTCCCGACCTGCCAGCTGCCTCCCCGTTGTCGGGGGGAAGAAGAAAAAGAAAAGAAAAGAAAAGAAGAAAAAGAAAAGAAGAAAAAGAAAAGAAGAAAAAGAAAAAGAAGAAAAAGAAAAAGAAAAAAAAGAAAAAAAAAAAACGAGAAAACGGGTACAAATTTTTTGAAAAACTGTCTTTTTTTGGTTTGCGCCAATATTTGTTTGGTGTATAAAAAAAAACAAGAAAACGGGTACAAATTTTATGAAAAACTGTCTTTTTTTGGTTTGCGCCAATATTTGTTTGGTGGCGTAAACCAATTTTGTCGGCCTTGAAATTGTTTCTGTAGGTAGCTAGGCACCTAGGCCATGCACGTGAATTTTTTCAGATTTTTTTATTGGGCTAATAGTTCTCTAAAAATCATCAAAGGCGGGGTACTTTTTGCACCCTGCTTTGAGCCTGTCGGGATTTGAACTTGTGAATTCTCACGAGTTGCTTCCCTACCTCTCCCAACCTGACAACACTACCCTCCCCATTTTCAGGGGAGGGCAGAAGAAATCCAAGGGGGAGGAAAGCAACAGCCACAGCCACGAACGTGGCCGCGGCCGTGCACCAAGTTCAAGCAGTATTGGCTTGAATGAAGTCATTCAGGCCACAGAGCTGTGAAGTGGAGGGTCAGTGAGGGGAACTTGGCTGGAAACAGCCATTTTCATGTTGAACCTGCACTCAGTGTGGGGCTGAGCGCAGGGAAAAGGAAGAAAAAGAGGGGGGCAATTGAGTACAACTGCCACCCTAAGTGTGTGGTTGAGGTGAGACAACCTCGGTCCGTTCATCTGGCTCAGATCAACGACCCTAGACAAGTGACGAATTTTGCTTGGGGGCAGCTGAGGCTGCTGCTGCCCTCATCGGCCACTACAAAAGAGGCAGCTGTCCACCAGCTGCCTAACACTTGCCTCCTGCTGCCAGTGTGTGGCAGCACACTTGCCTCATTGCAGGAGTGCTCGAGAGGAAGCAGGAGTGCTGCCGGCGGAGCTGGAGGACAGCAAAGGAGCGTGGCGAGGGAGGAGACAGCCATAGCCTTGGCAGGAGCACTTTGCTCCACCCCTTGGCAGGCTGGTATCTAGGGGGACTTTGCGGCAGCGTGGTGAGGCGTGGCAGCGCAGTGTGGTGCAGCACTTTGTTTTGAAGAGTGATGCTGCTAATTTTTTTTTATTTTTTTTTTTACGGTGGTACGGCGCGACGAAGCGGTGTTGTTTTTTTACGGTGGTACGGCACGGCGAAGCTCTGCCGTTTTTTTTTTACGGTGGTACAGCACGGCGAAGCGTTGCCGTTTTGTTTTTTTGACGGGGTACGGCGCGACGATGCGCTGCCATTTTTCGACGAGGGTTCGGCATGGAAATGGAATTGCGGCACGACGGTAGGACCTGCGACACGACAGTGGAGGTTTCTTTTACGGCACGGAAATGTTTTTTGTTGTGGCGCGGCGTCTGCTTTTCTTGATGAAGGTGTGCTACCATTGGTGTGTACGACAACAGCAGCATGACATGGCGGCGGTTGACGGCATGCGACGGTACAAAATCTGAGCGCGACGGGCGGGTCTATTTTTTTTTTTTATGCGGCATATGAGATAAATGTTTTGTAGTTGGGACTACCCAGCACTTGCGGCAGTGGGACTGGACTACTTGGGACTGCCTGGGTTCAATTGGGACTGACGTGGGACGCGGGCGGCCATTTTGCGGTAGTCTCGACGCATGCGGTATTGAGATTCGGCACCAATTTTATTTTTTTGAGAAGTGTGGCGGAAACGGTTTTCGACTCAATAGTCATTCGACAAAGTGTTTGACAGCATGGGACCACCTGGAAGCGCGTGGGACCATTTGGGACTGCTTGGGACCAGTTGGGACTGGCGTGGTACCAGAATGAGTGTTTTTCTGGGACGAGTGCGGCTCGCCACCTTCACACTTGGGACTGCCGCGAGTAGGACCTTCGAGTCAAGAGTAAATTGGGACTAGCGGTTGGCCCAAGACTTACCTCGGGACTGCGGTTTCTTCGACGACGCACCATAGATTACTTGGCTTTCTTGAGTGAGTCACAGCGCGTTCGACACCAATTCACTCAAGGTCAGTGAGTGGATGACTCTGACTCCCTTCACACCTGTGTGCACCCACACATTGCTCGACCCTTTTGCTTTGAATGTTCAGGAGCAAAGGTTGAGTGGGGTTGTGGGCGTCATGCATGAGTGAAAAGGTGGGTGTGACGTGAGTAGTGGGACTTTGCTTGTCTTCTTTTGATTGCGTTGTTTGCGTGGTGTGCAGGTGAGTAAAAAGACTATGTATGAAAGCGGGACAAAATGCTATTTGACAAAAGGACGGAGAGTTTCGCCTCCTTACCTTTTTCCTTTCGTCAATGAGTTGGGTGAACTTGCTTGCTATTTTTAAAGGATAATCGATGGGTGCCGTGAGAAAAGGAATTTTGAAAACAGAAAGAGAATCAAAGCATAATGAATTTAACTCTTCCCAAGGATTGACCCTTTCTATCCTAAATGACTTTATCTACCTATACCTGTCCAAATGATTCTCATTCTCTATCACCTCTGACTGTTTTCGCCTAGATTACCTTAGGCAGGGGAGGATGAGAACAACTTAAAATTTACTTGCGGTGGACGCTTTCTCTCTTTCAAGGAAGCATCTGGGGCGGGGAATCATTGCTTTAGGAGCCGACCCTGTTATCGACCCAGCGTGGATCGTTACACGGGGGGGTACTTTGCCGATTCGGTGGAGATGGCCCGACTTTTGAGTTTCGAGTCTAGTGCTCGGGCGAGGAGTACCCCATACCACTTCCTAGAGGGAGAGATATGCAACACCTCAAGTAATGCACCTGATTAAGAATCATTCACAAAACCACGTGTCATCCAAAAAAGCTACGGGTCTGTGAAGACGAATGTACGTGTTTAATATAGGGTCGGCGGTATATGGAACGAATAACTTTGGCAGCGCATCTCATCAAGTCAAAACTAAGGTTGTCCGACTACAATGTCGGTTGCATATATGTTGTTGTCTAAAGCCAACTCCTCGTTGGTGGTTGTATGATTTTTGTGGAGATCGACCCAGGGTGGTCAAGTTTTAGGGTATCTAATGATGATTTTGATTATTTCGATTATCATTGCAGATGGGATATACATTCCTATCGACTAAGTACAGTTCCTTTTGGTATAACTATGTTTGATTGTTATAACTTTCTTTTGACTAGTGTTTAAAGGGGCAAGGAGGTTTCACGCTTGGTTGGGACCATCCTTGTCGACCGGCGTACGCTTCGTTCTTAGGAGATCAGCGCCCGAAGGAACGGACGACGTCCGGGTTCAATAGCCGTTTTAATCGCAAACGCCCTCGGTTGACCCACCTCTGCAACTGCATGTAAAAGCTTTCGCACGTGGGTCAGTAGCTCGGTAGGGATACAACCCTAAGGGTGGTGACAACCCTTAGGGAAGCAAGTTGTGCACCGCGGGAACCTATCCTGTCGTAGGGGACCGCGGGATGTACAGTTGCCGCACCCGGCTAGAGCGGCAAAGGGACGTCGCAACCGCGGCCGTCTCGGCGGTTCGCGGAATTTTTTTGCGTCGTCCCCAAGTTGTTTCTATAGTTTCTGTTTAAACTCCTGCGTGACATGGCCGGGAGGGCTCCCGCCTCTTCGCGAGAAAAGGCGAGAGCCGATGCGCCCGACGGCGTGTCCGTTGTAAGTGAAGGCGAGCTTGTATTCGACATGGGGCCCCAGTTACACCATTTCTGCATGGTGGGCGCCAGACAGTTGCTACACGCCAGTTGGTTGCAAAAGCCCTGCTCTTGAGAATCAGAATATTTGGGAAAGCTTCACAGTTCTGGGACGCTTGTATATGGCTGCATGAGGTGGCTGGGCGCATCTCGAAGTTGCGTGAGGTGGTTGGGCGCATCTCGAAGCTGCGTGAGGTGGTTGGGCGCATCTCGAAGCTGCATTAGGTGGTTGGGCGCATCTCGAAGCTGCATGAGGTGGTTGGGCGCATCTCGAAGCTGTTTGTGTGGGCCTGGGTGCAGAAACTTTGGCCCAACGTGAAGCTACTGGGCCCTAGCCCAACACGCCCATTGGAGACCGAAGCAGTGGCACACGCCCTGCCCAGGGACGTTCTTGCTTGGGCAGACATCGCGGCCACGCTGCTGCATTGGCTTGCGACTTACTGCGCTAGTAGGCAGGCCGGACAAGTGCACTGGCGCCAAGAGGTGACCGGGCGCTGCGGTGGCAGCGGGCGCACGGCGGCCATAACCGGGCTGCGGAGGCGCATTGCGGGTGACGGTGATGGTGGTCTTCGGATAAGGAGGCGCATGCTGTGGGAGACGGGGTGATGAGGGGAGGAGAGACACACACCTGGTGTATGCTGGCAGTCTGCATTGGCGACGTCGTCACGTACATTGGTCTTCAGCTTCAAAGTGATTCCTGGTGCATGAATATAGAATAGGCTAGCATAGGTTGAGTGGCATAGGCTCGGGGCTGAGCGCCAATCTGGAAGAGCGACATTGGATATTGTGTTGATGTGGTGAGAGAGTCTCGACGTCGACATTTGAGTTCATTGTATAAATTTATAAAAGTATTTTCTTTATTACAAAGAGAAAATATATCTTTACATGACAGATAGATAAAAGGCATATAACTAGCTTCAACAATAACATTTAAAAAAGCATATCCACTCATTGCAGGTGAACCTATTATCATCAAGCTATTAGAATGATCTCACTGCATTGTGCTTTCTGCTTGGTTCTCGACTATCTGGTCTACAGCGGGATTTTGCATTTTGGATTTATGTCTATCGCTTTTTCTCATATTCCTTGCAGTTTGCTTCCCTGTCCCTGTTTTGTATGTCATGTTGCAGCAAGTGTGCCATGGATTAGGGTGATGCCAAGCAGGAGCATGATTAGAGCCTGTTGTGCGCCCGGGCGGTCGAGGACCTTCTAGCACCTTTTTGGTTTCCATCTTTTATTTGTTCAACCCGTACTCTCTCTTCGTCTCTTCTAATGTAAACTAACTTACAGGGAACAAGCACTAGCCTATCTCCATGAAGTTGTACATGGTATGGGGCTCTCCCTAACTGAAGGGTCAGTTCACACCGTAGTTGTGGTGCAAGAGCGAAGTTGTGCCATTCGTCGATCAAAATAATTAAGGACGAGGCAGGTGATGCTAGTGGGGGAAACAGCTAGCAGCATCTTTTTGTTATCAGTGGTCATGGTCCCTCCCTTTTCTCCCTCTCCCAGATAGCAGTAGTGATGTCTAATGGCCCAGGTCATGGTAATGGTACCTGGAGGCCGAAATGGATTATATTCCCATGGCGTGGCATGGACCAGACATGGGGTGTACACGAGGCGAAGCCGACCTGACTCTGGTGCCTCTGACTAGTTGGGATAGCCCCCTGGCCCCTGTCTGAACCATTTCTTGAGGCACCCTTAAACCAACATTTGTTGTAGGGGCTATGAACTTCATGGCTACTGTTTACCCCCCGAGCATAACGCACCTTCATCATGAACATATACGAGCTATCTTTCTGGTTCAATACAATCATGATGAAGGTGCCTTGTGTTTGGAGGAAGATGGTAGCCCAGTGCAGCTGTCAGACTGTTGAGCATCAAAGGTTGCTTTGAAGTCCCAACAGGACAACATTCTGTGAGACTCACTTTTGCTTTCAAGCATCGGAGTGGAAATGTTGCATGGTGTTGCTTGCATACACCCTCGCTTCACGGACTTATGCGCTCAGCATGCCTTTTTGAGAGGAGAAAAGTTCCATGGTGTTACAATCATTCGCCATTACTTCACAATTTATGTGCTCAGTGTGTCTTTTTAGCACACAGTCTATGACGGTATATGAAACCATGTACTTGGATGAATCAATTTCAATTATAACTTCCCTACACTATAGAAATCGCTATTTGGCCCGCAACATTTGGGTGATCCGGGCCACCCGTGGCCTACCAGCTAACGGCCCGGATTTCCGTGCGTGCGGTGATCCAGACCGTCCTCTTTGTCGGACGGCGTGGATTGTCGCGCGATCTTAAAGTCTTAAGATCGTGCGGAAATCCGGACTGTCGGGCCGGTAGGACCACGGGCGGCCCGGATTGGTGCGCCCGTTGGAAACAGGGCGCGTTGCAGGGCGGCATTGTGGCGCGTTGCAGGGCGGTACTTTCCTTGCACTGAAGTCCAACGGGCCCTCCCGCTTGCCCACCTCGACTCCGCCATCGGCTCCCACCTTTTGCCTCCGCCCACCTCCCTTCCGCCTCCTCCAGCCATCTCCCTTCCACCACCAGCCACCATCTCCTCTCGGCCTTCGCCCACCATCTCCTCTCCGCCTCCGCCCACCTCTTCTCCACCAGGCGCCCACCTCATCTCCACCTCATGTCCACCTCCACCCACCTCCGCCCACCTCCTCTCCACCTCCCCCTGCCATCTCCTCTCCACCTCCCCCTGCCACCGCCCACCATCTCCTCCCTGCCTCCACCCACCTCTTCTCCACTCGAGGGCCACCTCGCCTGCGCCTCCGCCCGCCGGCCCCCTCCCCTCCGCCTCCCCCCACCCCTTGGGATTCGTCTCCCACTTCTCCCTCGGCGTTCCCCAACCAGTTCTCCTTCGCTTCCACTCCTACGCTCCCGCCTCGACCTACGCTCACCTCCGCCCACCTCACCTCCACCTCTGACCTCCTCGCATACAGCCTGCCCTTCGTAGCTCTCTCTCTCTCTCTCTCTCTCTCTCTCTCTCTCTCTCTCTCTCTCTCTCTCTCTCTCTCTCTATATATCTCGCCCGCTCTCTCTCTCTCTCTCTCTCCCTCTCTCTCCCTCCCTATCCCTCTCTCTCTCTCTCGCAGTGCTTGGTACGTCGTTCTTGGAACTTCGTGCCCTACAGGCTTGCCTACGCGACCTACTGACTTGCCTACGCTCACCTAGGCGACCTATGCGACCTAGGCAACCTACCTACAGCCTACACGACCCATGCGACCTGCCTACGGTCTGCCTACCGTAACGCTCTCTCTCTCTCTCTCTCACTCTCTGGATCTCTCTCCCTCTCCCTCTCCCTCTCCCTTTCTTTCTCTCAGTGCTTGGTACTTCGTGCTTGGTTGTGTTTGGTTCGTGCATGCTACTTGGTGCTACTAGGTGCATTTGTGCTACTTCATGCTACTCCGTGCTTGGTTCGTGCTTGGTTTGGTTTCGGTGCTACGAGCATCGGCGGTTGGTTCATGGGATCGGTGCTTCTTGCTAAGTGCAACGGTGCTACGTGCATCTTGGAATCGGTGCTTGGTTCAGTCTGGCATAGTCGAGCCTTTTCTTATGGAGTTGTGTACAACGAACATGACGTCACACATACGCACGCAGATGCATCTTCGGCAGACTGTCACGGTTCAAACTCCGGTGAAACAGTCTGGACAGTTATGCTTCCTTTTTAGCGTGCAAGAAGGCACGAGAGAGAGAGAGAGAGAGAGAGAGAGAGAGAGAGAGAGAGAG